CGATGCCGTTTGATCTGTACTTTCTTCTCTGCCAAGTACTTGAAACATTCTGCTCCGAATGTGTCTGGGCAGAGTCGTAATAGAAGACCTCTTTTCTATTTGTGGTTTAACAAGGGATAAAGCTATGTCTTTTAAAAAGTTACGTCTTTCGAGGGGTTCTTGATTTATATGCGTTATATTTGCGTTATAAATAACAACGCATTTATACATGCCACATTCATAAGTCCAAAAAATATCGTTAGTGGCCATCTTTTACTTACTCTTGATACAGAATATGTACCACACATCTTGTCAACCACGTCCACTCCACATTTATGCATATTATAACCCGTTATCACTTCTGGCTTGCGTTTATCTCCTGTATCAACATCTATTTTCGCATCATGATGCATTGTAGAAGCAAGAAGCACCACTTTTCCCTTTCTTGGTGAGTACGATACTAATGTACAATTAGGATTAAAGCCAAAGTAGGTAGTCCATTCTTCTCGTCCTCGTGTAGCAACAAAGCATGGGGGTATTTCTGGTTTATTTTTACGAAGAGTCCCTACAACCGTAAGCACATAATCTTCATACAATTCTGTCATCAATGGGATACTCGTGAACCAATTATCCATTACCACGTTACGATGAGACCCTCTTATTTGCTCAACCAAACGTTTCACGACATCTGGAGGAGAGTTACAGCATGTGGTCCTGAATTTTGCCTTCCGGTGTATACTTCTAAGCATGCCGAATAGTAAATTCTTGAGTCAGCCATTACAAATATTTTTATTCCGTATTTGGCAGGCTTCTTCGGCATGTACTGGCGAAATGGACAACGACCACGGAATGGCTCCAGTTTTTCATCAGTAGTCACTGTATCCCCTAAAGAGTAATGTATCTTTATAATTTCAACGAATTTGGTAAATAAATCTCTAATTGCAGCCAGTTTATCATTTTGTCTCCTCTGTTCGCGTGTATTTTGATCATCAAACCTAAGGCAACGAAGTAAAAAATGAAATCTTTGTCGTGACATGGTAGCTATGCACACGTCTGATCCAGTGCCGTCAGTTGCCCATAAATCCATGGTGTTCAAATGCGCTCCACTAAGTTTTCCAAAGTAATAAAGAAGCCCAAGTAGAGCCTGTAATTCTACCTAATCCGTATGTAAGCAGTCTCTTTTTCTTTGGAAGTTATCGTGGATACTGTCAATATACATATTGGTATATGTTACAACCATGTCTAAAAGACTGTCAGGGTACATAAGACTCCAGCAGTCCAAAGGCGTAAGTGCATCTTTTGCCTCATTAATCGGTCCTGGCGCATAAAATATAATGTTGCGGCTACGAGTACGAACATTTCTAGGGGGTTCCTCAATACTCCAGTTAGTGGAGCCATTTCTACCCACATAGTATCCTTGACGGATATAACTCAGAGGCACATCACTGAGATCAGGTCTTCTGTGTAACATTTCGGCAGAAATATTACCTGCTGAAAAATCTTCGGCCTCAGAATTATCATCATCGCCGCTTTGACTGGAATTTGAGTCGTCATCGTCGATCTCTAAGTTATCTTCAATTTCTGAAGAGACTTCTCCTTCAATACCATCTTCCTCTAGAATTTCTTGAATTCTGTGATCGTCTAAAATATTACGCGACATTTCTGCAAAGACAAAATAAACTAAAAATATTTTTAAAGAAAAATAATACACTTACACAAACCGTCGCGTAAGGGTCGAAACGACCCATACTCACTTTATACGTTCGTGCTGTCCAAACGCCGCGCGTGAACTGAGTGAGGTGGGGCGTGCGGGTAGCCTATATTGTAGTTTAAAGGTACTGAGCGCGACCTAGAATAGTAACCAACATTTAAAAAGTTATGGAACAAGAAACAAGGTACTGGGTCTTTTCGACCCATGCGCGACTACTCGCGGGTTAATAAATATATAGTTAGGTAGTAGTGATGCCCGCCGGCGACGGACAGCAGCGTCAAAGGTACGATTACACATGGTACTGCGATCGTCAATCCGCCTGCCAAGTGTGGCGAGTTCAATGTTCACGGCGCGGGCTTTTATGAGCTGATCATGTAAAAGTTCGTGATGATAGAGCTCATACCCTCATCATCATTACTAACCATATTGCATAAGCTATTTGCACCTTTAGTGCCAAACAGTGTAAATAAATAAGAAATATCACTTCTTACACCGTCGTGTTGAAGTTTCCTGATTAATGTTTCATGGTGAACACAATCCAAGACCTTGGATAGGTCACAAAATATACCCAAAGCATCCTGTGAATTCTCCCATGCATTAAAGATATATTATAAAGATATATATAATATACCAATATTTTATGTCAATGTTGTTGTTGTTAAAAGATGATTTTTTTTCATCAGGATCGAATTTATTTGTGACCCATGATCAAAGGTATACTTGGTGCTGTCGCCTGTCTTAGTTTTCGGGAGCGTTCCAAAAATACCCTGTATAATATACCAATATTTTATGTCAATGAAAAAGAGGTTGATTATCATTTGAGGTTAAGTCTGTGCTTGGTGATCAAAAATAAAACAACAATTCGTACACATATAGACATGTATATAATTTTAAGACAGACTACAAACAGTAAATACATAGACAACAATTACTTTACTTGAGATGTATACCAGATAGACAATAGGAGTATGAGCACAACACAATAATACATCGAAAAATACATTCACCATTCTTAATATATCTTTTAAAAAGTAGCAAGAATTTAGTCAGAATACAATTAGCAAAATTTATTTTTATGGACGTTTAACAATATTAAATTTGAATAAAACAATTGCTCGTATTGTATATACAGACATCAGTGTTATACTTACGACTAATTATGGTTCGTGTCTCTGACTCTTCGAGTAATTATATACATATGTATGCATAGAGAGAACCTACAATTCTACATAATCAGGATCACTTTACTTGTCTTGCTTTTTCTAATTAACACTTAACATATTTTTTATTATAATAAATCCTATTGAAATATATTGTGCATAATTAATCTGAGTCCGTCAGAAAAGTGCGACAAAGATAGTAAAAAAAAGTGTGGACGGTTATTGTGGTTATTGTCATTCGAGCTAACGAGACCAACTAATGTTAATGGCAATTAATAGAATCAGACGTTACTTTGCGAAAAATTTATAAATCTAATCTGTTGAAAAATATTTATAACGTGTCTTCCCTATCTTGAACACCAACCCACTCCCTACTTGAATTATACCTGCACTATCACCGTCACCAATAACCCCTACGCCAATACCTACTCCCAATACCAAGAAAACAGAAACAAATCACCATCGATTATGCACGTGTTTTGCCTCTAAGTGAGGCATCATCCTAAGAAATAAATCATCGCAAAGTTTACTTGCACCTAACGGTGAAGTGTACGCAATCAAGGGAGAGAAAGAGGTGCTCCAAACTAGATAAAAGTTATTTTATTTCTAAAGCAGATCTAATTTATATTAAAGCCTGTGATAGTCATACAGCGATTTCTTCAGAAAACTTCGTGAGTCTATATAAACCTTTTTCTGTAAAGTAGATTTTATATCGGGAGTTGATCCCTTCGTAGTCGTTTTCTTCATTGTAAGATTTCAAGAGGAAACAACTAATGCAAGAGATTTGCTCAACAATCAAACATACAATGATGATTGTTGACTGAGCAAATCTCGTGGAATGGCATATGTGTAAATAATACTAACATATTAATTAAAATAAAGTGAGGTACAATATTGTTAATACAAATTTGTTCACTGTTACGGAAAAATTACTTAAATACCGTTCAAAGCTTTGGCCATATTAAGTATTAGGTAAAATTACTGTCACACTAACACGCGTTCTCCGTTCATACAATTTAATGTCACAATTGCACTCATATTATTTTAAGTTTATATCAATAAAAAGGTGAACCTGATATGAAATAAGCTTAAAAATATAACTGATAAAAATGGGCACATTTATCTTTTATTATCCTTACCTAAAACAACCAAAACATTTATTATGACAATCTTATCTTAAACTTCTAAACGTATTATAGATATGCCTTTCAAATTAAGCTCGATTACCATCCTGCACTCATTTAATTATTTTTACATATATAATAAATATATGAAAGCTCATATGACTGTGTGCTCATATGACTATGAGCTCATTGCTCGTAAAACAGTTTTGGGACCTGACATTGAACATATTATGTTAGTACGAGTACAGTATGTCAAGCAAATGAAAAATAAAACGGTATTTTGGGTTTACGCGAAATTATGTGAAGAGAATGGCATATCAGTTGGCGGTAAAAAATAATTTAAAACATCCTTTTAATAATAGAACAGCTGGACGTAAATGGTTAAAAGGGTTATTTTCGAGGCATAAAGAACTTTCTCCGGTCCAACCTACTGGTACATCATTTGCTCGGGTTAAAGGCTTCACGAAAGAAAATGTTAAATTCTTCTTCGATTAACTGGAAAAGAAATTTGAGCTTTTTAAATTTCCACAAACTAGGATCTACAATGTCGACGAGACTGGGCTTAGCATTGTTCAATCGAAGACACCCAAGAGTTTAGCTTGCAGGGTTAATTTTATTATTTTCTTTTGATTAACGAGACTAGACCCTATTATGGAATACCCTATTCCATAATAGGGTCACATTTTTGAGAAGCATATTTTTTGTTGATTTATTTTAGTTAATAATATTACGGAAAGTGTTTATGATTTACTGATTCAAATATTATTTTAAGAGAGTGATAATGACTACATTTAAGGGCGCGTTCCCACTATGTCGTAACGACTAATTTATCGTTCGACGACTGTCGTCTCTACCTGTTCCCATTATAACGATTGTTTGTCGTCAACATTTTTTATCGTTTAGCGACTGTCGTATCTAGCTGTTCCCATTGGATCGCTCAGATCGCTCGCATCATCAGCAAGCTACAAATCTAATCGCCTCTGCGTTCGCTTGGTGATTACTAGTGCGTTTACTCTCCTGAGTTCAATGGACGAAGATGAAATTTTAATAATGTATTACTTTTTGAAAAGAAGGAAAATGAAGCAAGAAATGAAAAGAAAGTACTGGGTACATCCAATGTTAATGAAAAGAATTCCATTAGGATTATGTCAGAGTTATATAGAAGAATTAAAAAGTGATGATGGAAAGTTTTATGAGTATTTAAGAATGACTGTCTCCACCTTTGATAGCCTACTGGCACGACTTGCAGACAATCTTAGAAGAGAAAACACACATTTCAGAAATTGTATAAGTGCCGAAGAAAGACTAGTGATAACTTTAAGGTAAGTAAATAAAATGAAAATTCTTTATTAATGTATACATTTATTTATTTAGAGATTTATTTTAGAGTTACACGTTTTATAAGTAAAGACATCTTTAAATTATATATTGTCAAAATTAAAAGAATCTTGTGTGCTATCAGACAAATTAGTATAGACTGAATTTGGTGATGCAGCCGGTTCCATAACTTGATTGCTAGTCGAAGTTGATGCACCTGGATCTTGTGTAAAATATCCTGTCGGTTGTGATAAATGGTTTTGGTAGTCACCATAGTTTGCATAAGTATCATATAAATTATTACGAAGGCGTTTCTTTTTAATTTTTTCAATCAGTTGCATAATACCCGTTTGGAATTCAAAATTGTCATCATTGTCGAATGATGCCAAAGATGGTAAAATTCCTTTAATAAAGGACACATGTGGGTGTTCTTGATTATTTAATTTATAATCTAGAAATTGTGACATTTTATCATCTAATGTGTCAGTCTTAGTTTTCTTTTGAGTAGAAGGTGCTGCATCACTTAATGTATCAGAGATAGAATTATTAGGCTCATTAGATGAATCAGAGGTCATACGGGGCTCAGTAACTTTTAATAAAAAAGACAGCTGATTCTTATAAACATACGGCCTAGTAGTTTTTGCGCCTGCACCAGATCGCTTTTTTTCTTTTTCATTTTTCAGGGATCTCATAAATGCATCTCGAATATGTGTCCACTTTGTAGATATCTGTGTAGCTGTATTAGTAAAATAGACTTAAAATTAAAATTTGTTTGTGTATAGATTTAACATTATATGTATTAACATATAATCAGTCTAATACGTAGTCAAATTATTGTTCACGCAAACATCTGCACGTTTTTCAGAGTTTAAAAAACTATACTTAGATCGAGTTTTTCCACTAGTATCCCCGGATGTTTCCGTGAACAAGTAAGGGACTACGTATTAGACTGATTATATGTTTATACATAATTATAATGTTAGGGCATTGGTCCTCGAATATAAGCGTATTATAATAGCTGTTGTATTTATTTACAGATATTTGGCGTCGGGATGTTCGTTTAAACAACTGCATTATAATTTTAGAGTGGGAATGTCAACCATCAGCAAAATAATCAAAGAAACGTGTTCTGTTATTTGGAGCGTATTAAGTGCAGAATATTTAAAGTTGCCCAATACCGAAGAAGAATGGAAAGCGATCGCTGAAGCTTTTAAAACGAAAGCAAATTTTCCTCATTGCCTCGGTGCGCTGGACGGCAAGCACATAAGGATTACAAAGCCAATAAATAGTGGTTCTATGTTCTTTAACAATAAGGATTATTTTTCTTTTATTTTATTTGCAATTGTTGATTTAGAATACCGTTTCATTTACGTTAGTATTGGTTCATACGGAAAAGAGTGTGATTCATCTATCCTAAAACAATCCAATTTTTGGAAGAAACTAAATGATGGTACTTTAAATATACCAAGACCCACGCCATTACACGAAAATATGCAAGAAGAAATACCATATGTATTTGTTGGAGACGAAGCCTTTACATTGTTATGGCGGTACTCATTTAGACAATAAGAAAAAGATATTTAATTACCGTCTAAGCCGCGCGAGAAGATATGTTGAATGGACTTTTGGTATCTTATCCAATAAATGGAGGATCTTGCATAGACCATTGGATGTATGTGCAGAAACAGCTATTGAAGTTGTAAAGGCTTGTACGGTATTACATAATTTTTTAATAAAAAAAGACGCTATATACTTGGAGAATACCCCAACCGTTATGCCCCTGGTAAACATGCCTGCAACACAGCTGCGTTCAAACGAAGGTGGTGGAAACGCAGTGCGCTTACAATTTTCCGACTATTTTGTATCTGAAATAGGCTCCGTACCTTGGCAAAACATTACAGCACATGTATCCATAATATATAAAAAGTTTCAGAAACTTACCGAAATCTTTTCTTTCCTTTTCCTCCAACTTGTCAAAATTAGGTTCAAAAACGCAACAAATTTCTCTCCACGCGGCTAATTTCAAACCTCTGTCTTTATAAATGTCTAAAGTTTTGTCCCAAAGGACAGCCCTTTGTTCCACAAGTGGAATTAAAACTTCCGGTGTTATATTATTAGCCATTGTTATACGTCCACCATGCGCAGGAGTCTGACAAGTTCTAACACGCACAAAGCAAACCGAGTACAGACGCGAGGGGCGCGCGGGTGCGAGAGGGAAGAGAAAACACGTGTTCGTCTACATAGAGTTGCCGTCCACGATTTTATCGTTTTACGACTGTCGTGCTTGCCGTTCCCACTGTCACGACAAAGTGTCGTCACTGCAAAAACTGTCGTAGACGACAGTAAATTGTGTCGTTCTAAATGTGAACACCTCCATTTAAACATATAAGCCACGACACTTAAAACTACACGATTATCTGTCGTCACGACACGGTGGGAACGCGCCCTAATTGTAATCAATGAGACTGATTAAAATAAAACTTTTGTACTGATTTTTTTGAGAAATTGTTTAAGTATTCCATATTCGGTCCTTTTCCTCTATAATAAATATATGAAAGCTCATATGACAGAATTACAAACAACAACACATAATATACGTTTATTACCTACCAAGTGTACCAAGCACTTTATAAATTTTCTAAGCAGTGATGAATAATACACAAAGATATTTTAAAACAAAATATACTTAGCACGCTAATTAATCTGTCTCATACCTCTCTACTCTACGATTATAAATAAAATTTCTAATGTGATGTTGTAATACTTTCGAACATCTATGTAGTTATTGCAAAAAAAAAACGATTTAATTTTTATCTAAAAAAGAAAACTAAATTGAATCGAACAGTTAAGACGCTCGCGGAAGCCCTGTGCGTACCTTCTACTTTTGGACGTATGTTGTTTTTTCGAAAATTCTTCCCGCTTTAGTACTAATTCGCTCGAAAATTTCAGGGAAAGAAGTAACGTTTTCATATACCTACACACCGACCACAAGAGGGCCTTATTTGTAATATATAAAGTTAAACTTAATGACTTTACTTTTTTTTTATAGAATTGAATAGAATAATTTTATTCAATGTAGATTATTACATAATATTTCTTGAAAGTCATATTATATATATTTTTATGAATTATTGTCCCACATGTAAATCGGTGAATATACAAATACATATTAAGTACTCTTCAATTACGACTTATTAATACATGAGTTGTATTTATTATTTCACCAAAAACCTAATGCAAGCCTTTAATATTCTAAAAATATATTGGAATAAGATTCACACAGGACATTGGAATATTATTTCAACTACCCACACAATAAGCCATTGCAGGTAATATTCATTAACATGGGCCAAACACCAGCTGCTACAAAACTCATACATATATATTATGTAGGAGCTAATAATACACATCTATCTATGAATGGTCAGAATACTTCTACCTAGGAGCCATTCTGAGCCGGTACTATCCTTCTTACGTATTTCTGCCGCCAAACAGCAGAGTGTACACTGCTATGTTCAGATATGAAGGGCATAGGGAGCCAATGTAATTACAAGTTGTGACGCATAACATTTGAATTGTCAGAGGTGATCTGAGCTTTCTTTGTTTAAAGTTAAAGTTTTATTTTTAAAACATATACATAAAAATTGGCTCTTGAAGTGATCGAAGCCATAATATGAAAACTAAATTATTTCTGACTTAATTACTACCTTTACAAACTACAGAATTGACTAAAAATGATATGAATTGACTAACAGTAGGAAAATTAAATCCCAAGATAAATACACGATTCACAAACATTATAAGCTTTTACTAATTTTAAGCAAATATTTCTATATTATACTTACTACGAGTATACATTTTATTAATAAACACCACCTTATTACATTTAGTTAAATTTGTTGGCTACTAAATATTAACATTTACTACGTGGTACAACCATGTTTGATGAGAACCGTCTTATTTCTAAGCAAAATATATATGCATACTAACGTAATTCATCAGAGTTTGACTATGTATGAGAACACTTTGTTTTATCGTTTACAATTCGAAGTACAGTACGGCAAACAAAATTGGCGGGTAGAGACGCGACAAATAAAATTGGCGGGTAACTCTAATCGGGAATCAAATAGCCAAAACAGTTCAAGTGCTCTTACATTTGCCATGAAACAATGTTAACTAAGAAATGTGTAAAGTTTTAGTAAATATTTACATATAAATGTATATTTAAGATGCATCGAAACGAATCGCTTTTACTTTATTTCACGAATACTATTGTTTAAGTATGATAATTAATAAATTTATAGTTAGGTAGTAGTGATGTCAAGTATTGTATTTCAAATAAGTTTTTTATTCATGTTAATAATCGAAAAGACAATGACTGTCAAGTTAATAGTTCTTAAAAGTTTTGTTGTGATGAATATGTATCGCAGCTAGATAGTTTAATTAGCCGGATTATTAGATGGCTAGCCCTTCAGTTACACTCTGGCACATAATCGTCTAATAGTCTAAACAGTACGTAACATTTTGATCTTTTGCGCAAGTTTTGCTTGCCAAAATTTTCTTGGTGTAAACAGCACATACAAAAATTTCTTAGGCGATTCTTGCATTCAATTAGTTTTCTCTTTATTTGCCAACATGAGTGCAGTAAGTGAAGGTGTGTTAATCGTTGCTGCTCTTCTGAGACAAGAAATATTGAGAAATCGTCGTAAAAAGAGGTGTTGGATCAAAAAATGGATAACAAGAAGAGGAGTTCTTGGAGCGTCTAACAATCTTTGTGTAGAATTACAAATAGAAAATGAAGATGACTTTAAGAACATGTTTCGTGTCAACAGAACCCAGTTTTATTATTTATTAGATAAAATTGGTTCTTCTATACAAAGGCAAAATACAACAATGCGTAATGCTATTCCTGCTCGAACAAAACTAGAAATAGCATTAAAATATTTGGCAACTGGAGATTCGTTTGGTACACTGTCACAATTATTTAGAGTACCTAGGTATACTATAAGTACATTCTTGGTCGAAGTTCTTGAAGCTATTTACTCTGTATTAGAAGATTTTATAAAGGTGAGTTCGAAATAAAACAGTTTTTATAATAGAATCATATATTTTCAGCAAAATAATTAGAAATTGTTTATTACTATTTATGCTCAGAACGAAAAATAAGCAATATTTATTTATTTATTATCAAAATATAAACTACGGAATCAGATATTTAATTAAAATAGAAAAAAAATTACATGTTCAACCATGTGTCTTCGCTGCCTTGTTTCGAATACGGGGATTCTGGCATTGGAGTAGAGTTTTGTCGTTCTTTTTCTCGAAGATCTTGCAGTTTGTATTTTGATAATATTGCTTGTATTTCGTCCTGAGCATGTATGCTATTTTCGGTATTCAAAATTCGCAATGAAGACGCAACATATTTTCCGAAATTGTCCAAATCATCGTCTTTTTTTTCAAGTCTTGCTCTTTTTTCAATATTGTCCAGTTTATCTAAGGCCGATTCTATGTAACCTGCTTTTTTAGTTGTTTTTTTAGGCATTGGAAACGGAAGCACATCATCGACGACTTGTATATTTGAATTTATAACATTTGCAATATTTTCCGTATCTTCATTTTCAAAATATTCAAAAACTATTTCGTGTGATGCCAGGGACGTATCATTCTAAAAACATACATTTATCTCATTATTTTACAGGTGCCAAGATCTGAAGAGGAATGGAATCAAATAATAAGGGGCTTTTTTATAAGATGGAATTTTCCCAACTGCTTTGGTGCCATTGATGGAAAGCATATAAACGTAAAATGTCCCCCTGGCACAGAATCAGACTTTTTTAATTATAAAAGTACATTTAGTATTGTGTTACTAGCTTGTGTTGATCACGACTATTGTTTCACATACATTGACGTGGGAGCAAAAGGTAGAAACTCTGATGGTGGAATATTTAATAATTGTACTTTAAAGAAGGCTATTGAAGAGAATACCATAAATTTGCCAAGTAATGCAGTACTTGTCGGAGATGAAGCGTTTCCTTTAAAACCTTATTTGATGAAACCATATCCTCGCCGTAACGATTTAAGTAGAGAACAAAAAATCTATAACCACAGATTGTGTAGATGTAGGAGAATCGTTGAAAATGCTTTCGGAGTTTTAACATTCCGATTTCGAATTTTCGAAAAGCCAATCACTACAAGTATAGACAAGGTAGATGTCATAGTGAAAACATCATGTGCTTTACACAACTGGCTTAGGAAAACTTCACCTGCGTCTTACACCCCACCAGGTTTTATAGACGAAGAATGTCAAAGAAGTGGTCTTCGTCTTGGTACTTGGAGACAAAATGCTTCAGGCGGAGCTTTTGAAAATATAACATCACAGAACAACAGGAATAGTACAAGGGAAGCTATAAGAATCCGTGGTAATTATTGTCATTACTTTAACAATGATGGTGCTGTACCTTGGCAAGACAGTGCCATTTTTTAATGAAAAAAAAGTTTCACATTTATAATATTATGCACTTGACTGTACTTTAGAAAATTTACATAAATACATACTTACCATATTTGATGTTGTTTCTCTGTGTTCAGAAGTTTTCCTTAAAAAAGAATCCATTAAATTATACCAAGAGAGTTTGGACTTGTAAATATCAGCAGTACCGGAACCAGTGCTCATTGAATCTTTTATCTTTTTCCTTTCCGCATGATACTGCGTTCTTAAGTTTTTTATTTTGTTTGTAATTTCCTTAGGTCCCAAACCATCAACTCCAAATTCTTGTGAAAATGCTACAAGTGCAGCACTACGTGCATCACGATTCTTGTAAGTCACATTTTCAGTGTCCCACAAACACTCATGACTGTGATAAATCTCAATAAACTTTATTAAGTCAGCAGAATCAAATTTTAACACTTTTTGACTCATATTTTTTAATAAACAGACTCTTTACAAAACCTTCCAACACTTGAATGAAAAATTTGACAATGCAAATACGTGCAATACTTGAAGCAACCCGCCAATAAATGGTACACGCACATACAACTCTCTATTTAGACAAGTCAAAACTTGAAAGCAATAATCTCCTAAACATTATTGTATTGGTCTAAACAGAAGACATTTGCAACTATTTTTTGTCAAGACTTGCATTCAATAATTGCGTTCAATTTTTTTACTTGTATCCACGTGTAAACAGTTGCGTACAATTCTTGATTTATTGCATTCAATAATTGCACTTGAATGTACAAGAAAATTGTATCGTCTAAATCACTCCTTACACTCTGGCACATAATCGAACATCTAATATATCTGAACATAACTGTACGAAGAGCTGCTCACAATAAGCACTTGAAACGTCTAAATTTAATAAAAGTTAAAAATGTAGACTATGAAATCCGTAAATTAGCCTTATTTAGTTTTATAAAATAGAATTAGGTCGAGAAACGAGCAAATAGTACACTTGATGGTAAGTGGAATCTGTGGCCCATAGACATCTAAATTTATCCTCGATTAAGAATCACAATGCAGATGGGTTGTCACTCCCGAAAACTAAGATGGAATAAAATTTTCTCCGTTTCTCTACACTCACCATACGAAACACAGCAGCATTAAGCTGCTATTTTACGCTGGTATTCTGTGAGAGCGTGGGCCTTCCCCAGTCGAGCCGACCCATTCGTGCTACAACCACAATATAGCTACAGCGTGACTCTACCACGTATAAAGTGTTTTATTCGCGTAAATTTAAGAAATCATTATCATAATAATACTTCAAAAATCAGTTTCATGTAATAAAAAAATTATGGTACCTATCTGTCATGAATCCGTTTTCTCCTTTGCTGAATCTCGTAACATAACCGTTTTGTCCCGTAACGCCACAATGACGGAAAAATTAAATTCAAATGACGACCATTTTTGGTATTAAAGTCTGACTATCGGTAAGCCCATGTTAAATATTTAAGTTTCTTTCTAATTGGTCTAGAAAAGGCATTTAGTATATTAACGGTGCTTAACTTATAGGCATCTAATCAACTGGCTAATTGAATGGGGCTGCGACACAAACATTAACACACAGTTGAACTTCACATTAAATCAGATATTATAACGAATGTCATCGAAGATACATCCAAAAACATCTCATTACGCTTCGAGCGATATTAATGATAGCAATGATGGTGTGAAAACGTACTAAATACTTCATATTTTGAGTGTTTGCCATAAGTAAAATGTGAAAGTTACCTTAAAATCATTCGGCTATATCAAAGGAAATTGTTTAATTAATAAATAATTAATGGTTTAACATTTTCTTCGCAGTGCTTATTTTTGTAGTATTAATGTAATTTCAGACATATTTAAAATAAAAATAAATAAAATTGCAATGCCTGTTTGTAATGTATAACAGCTTTTAACTATATGCATATGAAAGTATACCTATAAGTATACTTTCATATGCATATAAGTTTGGTTAGCGTTGTTGGTAAGTTGTGGCGAGTGGAAGGAAAAGGGGAGATCTCCCGCCGGGCAAGGTGTTCTGCCCGGGGAGCGGCTAACGCTCCAATTGGTAGTTCAAAGTCAAGTTCAAGTAGTATAACCAAACTTTTTAAATAATTTTGTTCTTGTGTCTGTCTGTTTGTTTACTTCGGCATATCTCTGAAACGGCTGAACCGATTTTGTCGGGACTTTCACAAGCAGATAGTTGATGTTATTACATAAGCTTTTGTTTTAGAAAAAAAAATTAATGTTCCGCGCAAAAAAAGTAAAACCCATGAAGTTTTATCGTAATGAATCCCACAGGGGGAAGTCGCGGAAAACAGTTAGTTTAAAATAAATTTAACAAGCTTAAGTTCTCTCATCAGAAAATAATGTTACCTTCATCATTATCATCATTACAGCCCTTCACAAGTCCACTGCTGAACATAGGCCTCCCCCAAAGAATGCCACAAAGCACGGTCCTGAGCCACCTGCATCCATCGACTTTCTGCATATCTTACCAGGTCGTCACTCCATCTAGTGGGGGGACGCCCTACACTTCGCCTGCCGGTACGTGGCTGCCACTCGAGAACCTTTCTTCTCCATCGGTTGTCGGTTCTTCGAGCTATATGGCCTGCCCACTGCCACTTCAGCTTACTAATCCGTTGGGCTATGTCGGTCACTCTGGTTCTACTGCGGATATCCTCATTTCTGAGTTTATCACGCAGAGAAACTCCGAGCATAGCCCTCTCCATAGCTCGCTGAGCGGTACCTTGAGCTTCCTCATCCGGACAGCAGTGAAGGACCACGTCTCAGTTCCGTATGTCATCACTGGCAACACGCACTGTGTGTACAGTCTCGTTTTCAAGTTTTGAGTTATACCTGACTAGAAGATGTGCCGTAATTTCCCGAACACTACCCAATGGAGTTGAATCCGCCGATTGACCTCTCGGTTGAAGTTGGACTTACCTAGTCGGACTATTTGTCCCAGGTAAACATACTCGTCAACAACTTCGAGCTTAGTGTTCCCAACAACTACCGGCGTAGGTGTGACATGGACATTAAACATGATCTTTGTTTTGTCCATGTTCATCTTAAGACCTATCCGTTGGTAAACACTATTGAGGTCATTGAGCATAGTGCTTAGGTCCTCCAGCGATTCTGTCATAAGGACTATATCGTCGGCAAATCGAAGGTGAATGATGTACTCGCAATTGATGTTGATACCGTATCCTTTCCAGTCCAAAAGCTTGAAAACATCTTCCAATGCAGCGGTAAAGAGTTTCGGAGATATGACGTCACCCTGTCTTACACCTCTCTGCAATTGGATAGGTTTCGTACTCTGGTTCTGTACTCGGATAGCCATCGTAGCCCTACTGTACAAGCACTTCAGCACTTCGATATACCGACAGTCCACTTGGCACCGCTGAAGAGACTGCAGCACCGCCTAAATTTCGACGGAATCAAAGGCTTTCTCATAGTCCACATACGCCAGACATAGTGGCAAATTGTACTCCTCTGACTTTTGTACAATTTGCCGAAGGGTATATATGTGATCTATGGTGCTAAAGCCTTTTCGGAAACCGGCTTCTTCGGGAGGCTGGAAGTCGTCAAGTCTGCGCGCGAGACGATTCGTAATGACTCTCGAAAACAGCACGTAGACGCGGCTCAGAAGGGAAATCGGTCTATAGTTCTTCAAGATAGCGTTGTCGCCTTTCTTGAAGAACAAGACCACCGCACTTCTGCTCCACGCCTCCGGTGTAATGCCACCATGGTGGACGGAATTAAAGAGCTTCTAAAGGACTTCAAGTACCGGTTTTCCACCCGCTTTCAGAAGCTCCGCTGTAATTCCATCCTCGCCTGGGGCCTTGCCGTTTTTAAGGTGCTGGAGAGCCATTCTAATCTCGCTCAGACTGACGTCAGGGATATCATCGGAATAATATCGGATAAGACTCGCCCTTGGATCCTTACTCACACTTGCGTGCGGCTCCAACGATGACGTGTACAGCTGCCCATAGAACCTCTCAATCTCACTCAAAATCTTAGGTGCCCCGGAAACGATGCTGCCACATTCGGTCTTCAGCTTTGACAGTTGGCTCTTTCTGGCAGACAGATCTCTGGCAAAGACTTTAGAGCCTTGGTTACGCTCGATCGCTTCTTCAATACGAGCTGTATTGAAGTTGCGTAAGTCCCGCCGCATGCATTTAGAGATCTGTCTGTTCAGTTGCCTGTATGCTGTCAAATCTGTTGAAGAATGTAGCTTCATCTCCCGTCTAACAGCCATGAGATTAAGAGTGTGATCGGAGAGTTTTTGTGTTCTTCTGCGGCGGGTCTTGCAGAACTTAGCTCCGACCGCATGGACAGTTTCCACGAGCTTGTCATTCAAATCGTCCACTTCATTGCAGTCTTCTAGGCACTGAAAACGGTGTTGTAACTCGAGCTGAAAGGTTTCGGGATTTCGGATTAGAGCACGAGGGGAACGGAGCGTTGACTTTATTAAACGAGACCTCTCCAACTTAACGTTTAGGTTCAGTGTGCCTCTAACCATTCGGTGATCGCTACCGGTTTTCACCCTCGCGATCACTGTGACATCACTGAACAGTTGTCGTCTGGTCGTCATTATCAAGTCAATCTCATTTTTTGTCAAACCGTCGGGGCTCGACCAGGTCCACTTACTGTGGGGCCGCTTCTGGAAGAAAGAGTTCATCATAAAGAGTCCCTCTTTTTCCATGAAGTCGGCCAGCTGCTGGCCCCTTGGGTTCCGTTGCCCTATTCCAAATTTCCCCACTTTCAGCTCACCGTTCACCGTTCTACCATTAACACCGTATATTGGGTTTTGGAGGAATGCATGGCTCTAGAGATATCCTCATACATTTCCTACACCTCCTGATCGGGGTGTGCCGAGGTTGGCGCGTAAACCTGTATGACCTTCAGTGAATACCGTTTGGTGATTCTGAGTATATGGTACGCAACCCTCGTCGACACACTCTCAATCTTTACAACGTTGTTAACGAGAGACTTGTGGACGATAAATCCGACACCTCCTTGGGACAGATGGTCGCCCTCCCGGTAATAGAGCAAGTTGCCGGATTCGAGGAATACCGTGGCCTCCCCCTCTCTTCGGACTTCGGATAATCCTATAATATGCCAGCGTAACTTGTCTATCTCTTCTTCCAGCTCCACAATCTTCTCGTCAGTCCTCAGGGTGCGTGCGTTGTATAATGCCAGGTCGATTCGTCGTAGGTGGCAACCGAACCTCCACCGGAGATTCTTAGCACGCCCTGCCACGGCGTTACCATGGTCGCCACCGTAGCCAGGAATAGCGGGGCCGCCGGGGACTGGGGGCCGTCTCTTCGTAACTTTCATCATGGGGGGTATATTGCCATAGTTGCCACGCTTGGCGAGCGGGTTAGCAACCGCAGTTTTTTATTGTATTTTTGCCGTTACCAGGAAGATGCTGCTGCCCATCTCCTGCCCGTTTCCCTTTGTCGCCTTTTACGACACCCACGGGAAGATATGGGGTAGTGGATATTCTTAACCGCCACTACACGGCACATATCACAACGTTACCTTATATATAATTAAAACACTTCAAATATTTTGATAAATATTTAAAAAAGCGCAGCAAAAATATGCAATGCACAGTAAACATACATAATTATGTTCAAGCAACTTTTAGAATATCATTAATATACAGAACTAATCATTATATCACATTGACTTTCTTGAATATATTTATTTA